CCCCAAAACCCCAAAACCCCAGCAGATCTTAATTGCTATAAAAATGAAAATTTAATAATAAATTATCAGGCTATTTGTTAAATAATTGTCTAAGGATTATTCTTATGTACTTTTCTCTAGAAAATATAATATTTTAATTCAACTTTCTGTATATGTATAAGTGTCGATCATAGCTTAACTCATCTTTGAGTATTAAGTTACTTCATTGCTCTTGTATCGTTATTCCTTTAGAAATAGTGCAATTTTTGACCTAGGTTAGCCACCGGCGAATTCATAATAGTCAGGTTTGTCATATCACAAGAGGCTTACTCAGAATAGCCTAAAGGTTATAGCTATGGAGATCTTTAGGTTAGAATAATCATATTTTGGTCTTTAATAGGCTTGATTTAGGCTATGGATTTTGATTGGTTTAGACCTTTTAATTCTCTTGTTTAATATACCTTTTAAGCTCTTACAGTTTAATTACCCCCATAGTCCAAAAGTATACTCATTGCAGTGGCAGTTGTTTCGTTCAATAGTTAGTTATTTATTTAAAGCTAAAGCTTCTAATTAAATTCTGGCAAGTTTGATTCTCTTTGCTGCAGTAACTCAGGCCTTTATATTATTTCAATGATACTTGAACCTTCTATGTCATTTGTTAGATAAGTATGATTGTTAAGATCTTTCATCATCATAGGGTCACATGTCAAATCACTTATCTATGATATCCTCTCATCTTTCTCGACTTAAAAATGAAAATCATTGTTGCCAGAGTCTTCTTAAGCAGCTTCGTCTAGAATCAGGAAAAAATCATTTTTCTAGTTGTACCTTTAATTGCCCTAGGCATGATTCGACTACGGAGCTGTTGAAGCCATTATTGATCCTTCTTTTGTCTAGTTAGTTGTAAATTTGTTTAGCACAACTGTTCCAGCTGATTAAAACTATCCAATGTTAGGTACTTTCTTCATCATTAGCAAGCAACCTAATTTCCCTCCTTGGCTATCTTCATCAGGAAAAGAGAAAACTGGCTTTTTCCTGTCGGGTTAAGACCCTTAACTCTGAGCAACCCCATATTTACTGACTTCATTTGACTACTGATGAAGATGGCTGATATCATTTTAACTTATTTCTTGTTAAATTTAAGCCTACTGCAGCAAATTATGAATTTCTTGCCTTAGTGTGCTGGCGAAATTTCCTTTTTTATAATTCTGATACTCAGATACAGCAGCTTATTTAGACTTAATAGTGCCTTAACTTTGATTTTCTTGACTCGTATCACTGCCGTTATTGTGCTGTTAAGTATTAGTGAATTTGAAGTGATTAGGTTGAGGGGGGTTTTTTCAAGTTGTAGGCATCTCATTTATATCTAAATTCACTCTGCCAGTGGCTAGAAATTCAGTTTGTGATTCTTCATAATTCTGAATCATATTTGATTGATCCCGAGCATTTATCTTTTGAGTAGAATGCATCCCATGCTTGGATTTCTAAGTTGTAGAGGTCTCTCGCTTCTTTAGAGTCGTTTGTCTGCTTCTCATTTTCACTTACTATAATTTAAATTTAAATATTATCAATATTCCTCAAATTCTATTAAAGACAACTAGCTGGGGTTTTGGGGTTTTGGGGTTTTGGGG